TCTGTCTATTGGTGTAAGTGAGGTGTTAAAGTCCCCCACTATTATTGTGTTACTGTCGATTTCCTCTTTTATAACTGTTAGCAGTTGCCTTATGTATTGAGGTGCCCCTATGTTGGGTGCATATATATTTATAATTATTATATCTTCTTCTTGGATTGATCCCTTGATCATTATGTAGTGTCCTTCCTTGTCTCTTGTAACATTCTTTATTTTAAAGTCTATTATATCAGATATGAGTATTGCTACTCCAGCTTTCTTTTGATTTCCATTTGCATGGAATATCTTTTTCCATCCCCTCACTTTCAGTCTGTATGTTTCCCTAGGTCTGAAGTGGGTCTCTTTTAGATAGCATATATATGGGCCTTGTTTTTGTATCCATTTAGCAAGCCTGTGTCTTTTGTTTGGAGCATTTAATCCATTCAGCTTTAAGGTAATTATCGATATGTATGTTCCTGTGACCATTTTCTTAATTGTTTTGGGTTTTTGTAGGTCCTTTTCTTGTCTTGTGTTTCCCACTTAGAGAAGTTCCTTTAGCATTTGTTGTAGAGCTGGTCTGGTGGTGCTGAATTCTCTTAGCTTTTACTTGTCTGTAAAGCTTTTGATTTCTCCATTGAATCTGAATGAGATCCTTGCCGGGTTGAGTAATCTTGGTTGTAGGTTCTTCCCTTTTGTCACTTTAAGTATATCATGCCACTCCCTTCTGGCTTGTAGAGTTTCTGCTGAGAAATCAGCTGTTAACCTTATGGGAGTTCCCTTGTATGTTATTTTTCATTTTTCCCTTGCTGCTGTCAATAATTTTTGTCTTTAATTTTTGCCAATTTGATTACTGTGTGTCTCGGTGTGTTTCTCCTTGAGTTTATCCTGTATGGGACTCTCTGCACTTCCTGGACTTGGGTGGCTATTTCCTTTCCCATGTTAGGGAAGTTTTCAACTATAATCTCTTCAAATATTTTCTCGGGTCCTTTCTCTCTCTCTTCTCCTTCTGGGACCCCTATAATGCAAATGTTGTTGCGTTTAATGTTGTCCCAGAGGTCTCTTACGCTGTCTTCATTTCTTTTCATTCTTTTTTCTTTATTCTATTCCGCAGCAGTGAATTCCACCATTCTGTCTTCCAGGTGACTTATCCATTCTTCTGCCTCATTTATTCTGCTATTGATTCCTTCTAGTGTAGTTTTCATTTCAGTTATTGTATTGTTTATCTCTGTTTGTTTGTTCTTTAATTCTTCTAGGTCTTTGTTAAACATGTCTTGCTTCTTCTCGATCTTTGCCTCCATTCTTTTCCCAAGGTCCTGGATCATCTTCACTATCATTATTCTGAATTCTTTTTCTGGAAGGTTGCCTATCTCCACTTCATTTGGTTGTTTTTCTGGGGTCTTATCTTTTTCCTTCATCTGGTACATAGCCCTCTGCCTTTTCATCTTGTCTATCTTTCTGTGAATGTGGTTTTTGTTCCACAGGCTGCAGGATTGTAGTTCTTCTTGCTTCTGTTGTCTGTCCTCTGGTGGATGAGGCTATCTAAGAGGCTTGTGCAAGTTTCCTGATGGGCGGGACTTGTCGTGGGTACAGCTGGCTGTTGCTCTGGTGGGCAGAGCTCAGTAAAACTTTAATCCACTTGACTGCTGATGGGTGGGGCTGGTTTCCCTCCCTGTTGGTTGTTTGGCCTGAGGTGACCCAACACTGGAGCCTACCCGGGCTCTTTGGTGGGGCTTATGGCGTACTTTGGGAGGGCTCACGCCAAGGAGTACTTCCGAGAACTTCTGCTGCCAGTGTCCTTGTCCCCACTGTGAGCCACAGCCCTCCCCCCCGCCTCTGCAGGAGACCCTCCAACACTAGCTGGTAGGTCTGGTTCAGTCTCCTATGGGGTCACTGCTCCTTCCCCTGGGTTCCGATGCACACACTACTTTGTGTGTGCCCTCCAAGAGTGGAGTCTCTCTTTCCCCCAGTCGTGTCGAAGTCCTGCAATGAAATCCCACTAGCCTTCAAAGTCTGATTCTCTAGGAATTCCTCCTCCTGTTGCCAGACCCCCAGGTGCGGAAGCCTGCCGTGGGGCTCAGAACCTTCACTCCAGTGGTTGGACTTCTGTGGTATAAGTGTTCTCTAGTTTGTGAGTCGCCCACCCAGGAGTTATGGGATTTGATTTTATTGTGATTGCACCCCTGCTACCATCTCATTGTGGCTTCTCCTTTGTCTTTGGATGTGGCGTATCATTTTTGGTGAGTTCTAGTGTCTTTCTGTCGATGATTGTTCAGCAGTTATTTGTGATTCCGGTGTTCTCACAAGAGGGAGAGCACATCCTTCTATTCCACCATCTTGAACCAATCAGTGTATAGATTCTTATAAATTTTTAAAGTGCTGACAAAAATGTAGACTTTGATTATAGGGCATCAGTATACCATTGCTGGTGTACTTTATCCTTGTAGCTTTTTCTGCTCTGGCAAATATTTGACATAAAGAACAATTTAAGTAAATGGACATTTTATTTAGATAAAACTCTAAAGAATCTATGTTTCTTTTATTTGTAAACATTATTTTGCTGGTATGTGTTTCCAAAGTGGAAGTATCTGTTTCAAATACACAATCAAGCAAACATTTGGTTTGAGGCCAATGAGGACAGGCTGGTGTTTTCTGGGACCATTTGTTCCCAAAGTCCTTACATCTCTTCCTTCTGTTTTTTAACCAGTTCCCTATGGTCTACCTGTTTGCTTACTGCTGTATTGATACATTTGAGAAGACTAAGTAAAAGACACGGAAAAATATTAGGTAGAACAAAACTCCTCAAAAATTTTTTCTTATAAATGTACCCACACATTTTTTGTGTGTGTTTGCATTGGGGGCTGTCAGACATTAACTTTAGTAATCTGTTGAATTTTTAGAATTGCATGCCTCTTTACACATACTAGATGCAGGTTTTGTCTATAAACCAAAAGAAAGTATAGTTCACATCAATTTCATACTTGCAGTTTTAGCTTTTATTTTGCAACCAAACAGCAATATTTATTATGAATTCTCTGCTTTTAGGCCAAGTTATGATTGACAAAAATCCAGGAATCACCTCAGTGGTAAATAAAATTAATAACATTGATAATACCTACCGAAATTTCCAAATGGAAGTGCTATCTGGAGAGGAGAATATGATGACCAAGGTATGGAGTATTTTATTGTCTCCTAATATAGTGTATATCAAGATTAATGTTTGAAATCAGAATAGATAACAAAGATTAAGAATATATAATAAATACCCAGTATTGATGAATATGTGAGAATGTGAGCATTTACATATACTATTGATGGGAGTGCAAATTTGATACAGTCAGGAAGAGTATATGGTAATATATTGCAGTTTTGAATAGACACATCCTTTGACCTAGCATTCCATTTATAGGAAGTTATCTCAAGGATATAATTGGACAAAACTGTAATGATGTACATACTAGGTTCTGCATCATTTTTTTTTTTTTTCCTTTTTTGGTTGCGCCGTGTGGCATGTAGGATCTTAGTTCCCCACCAGGGATCAAACCCCCACCCCCTGTAGTGGAAGCACGGAGTGTTAACCACTGGACCGCCAGGGAAGTCCCTGCATCATTTTTATAATAATAAATACAAAGAAATGGAAACAACCTAAATGTCATCAGTAGATAATTGATTACATTTTGGTATAACAATACAATGGAATACTTCATCATTAAAGATTATTTATATTTAGCTCCATACTTAAATTGTCCACTGACACGTTAAGTGACAAAAAATAAGTTGTAGAATAGTATATATAACATAGTTACATTTTAACTATGATAATTTTAAGTATGTAAATATGCGTATACACCAGAACATTAACAGTGAGCATATTTTTACTTGGTATAGTTACTGGTGACCTTTGTTATCATCTGTATACTTTTCTACTGAGCACATATTTCTTTTATAAGAAAAAACAAATCTATTTCAAAGAAAAAATAATTTAAAATATGTAGGAACAGATTCCTGGTATAAACCACTTTCTTATTTTCCACCCCCCAAATCCTCTGGAGCGTTGGATATAATAAACCTTTTTTAGCCCCTTAGATAATTACATGTTAACATTATGTGAAATTTTGTACCCAAGCTAAGAAATAGGTTAAACTCTCTCCATAATTTTAATAACAAAAGCCACTCTTAAAGTGTTAGTCATATCTTTCAAACAGGACTTTATAAAACTCAGGAGAGAACTTATGCAAAATAATTTTAAGATTCTGGGCCAATATTTCTCCAGAATTTAATAGTGTCAGGATATTAAAATACCATTTACTACACACTTATTTTAGGTCCTGAGCTAAATGCTTTAAATATAACAAATCCTAAGAGACCCACAAGATAATGGTTGTTGTTATTCATATTCTCTTTATGCAGATGAAATAACTAGGAATGGCTGAGCAGAGTGTTTGGAGCAAGGCTTCTGACTCGAGTCCATGCATGGTCTTTCCTTGTATACCAAACCTCCACTGCCTACTACTTGTGTGTAATGTATGAGGTCTGTTATGGCAAGCAAGATTTGAATGTGAATCCTTTGGTAATAACAGTGCTTATCTCAGCTGACATGAAGATCTACTAAACTTTAGGCATACCCTGATTGAACATTGTGCATGTTCTTTTCTTGGTACTGACCCTTAGGGTAACAGATAGTATCATTCTTCTCATAAAGAACATCTAAAAGTTCTGAGAAACTTCTGTAATTTTATAAATGCCTTGTGATTGATTTCCTAAGTCAACTAACGCTTGTTCTTAAGGACATACTTTATACCTAATATTTATACTGTCAAATAAATGTAAAAACTCAATATAATTTCTTTGCTCCAAACAGAATCACATTTAAGTTTAACTATAGGAGCTCATGCAACATTTAAGTAGTATGTGTGTATATTGTGAGGTAAAAAGATTCCTAAAGTGAATCTGCTGAAAGTCATGCTTAACTAAGGTAGCAAGATATCAAAGACAGCATGATAAAACCAGAGGGATACTTAGAATCTAATTTTTTAAGCTAGAACTGTGATTCACACTAAAGAGCTTAAAAGGGGAGTAGAAAGGAGATTTCGGAAAAAGCATCCCAAGACATATTTAAGCATTCCAAGTTATATACCTAGAAAGAGTTTTAGTTGGCAGAATCATAAAGAAACATTTCCAATACTGGAACCTTAATAATATGGCCAGAGCATCTGATGTGGTCAGGAAGAAAAAAATATGTACAAATTTGGAATTAAGGTCCATGAAGAGAGAATACAGAAGATATCTCTATCATATTTATAGAACTTAGGAACTCTCTGGCCTTTGATTCTTCATCTATTAAAATAAGGGGCTTAAGATGATGGGTGAGGTCACATTCTACAACTATAATTTTAGTTTTGTTTTCTGTTTTCTATCATGTTTATGATAATCCCCAAAGAAATGCTTCAAAGTCTTAATTTTGTTCAAAACGTTGCTTCACTGTATGTATTTAGTTTATCCATGAAAACTCAGATTTGGGAAAGGAGAAAGTAGGGGAATAATTTGTTCTATACACTGGCTCTATTTATAGACATGAAACCTGCAAAGTCCAAGTAACTGTCTGAAAACATAGCAAAATACCTCCAAATTCAATGACATATGACACATCTATCATGACTCCCCCTGACAAACTGAAAACTAAGGAGGGAAGCTTGCTTGCTGTGTAGAAGTGCTGTCTGCAACTTAGCTACCCACCATGAAGATATGTGTAGTGTGTTCTTTCAAAGTATAGGTTTTTTTTCTATCAGGTGACAGGAGAGAGTATAATTAAGCCAGTCAATTGGCCTATCTGAAAAATTCCTAGTGTGATTGGAGAACCACTTTATAGCCCTTTAGGATGATGGAGAACCATTTGGCTTTGAAGAGATAACTTTTCTCATGAAAACTTCTAATGCAAGATATTAAGTGGCCTCAAGTATAGCATAAACACCAGAATTCTAATTAAAATGCCTTTAAATGCACTGCTTTTTTTGCTCCTAATAATACTAAATTTAAATGTGTGTATGTCTGTGAGTGCATCCATCCAATATCAGTGACTAGAACTTAAGACTAAGCAGTTTAACCAAAAGCATAATACCTTTTTCAGGTTCGAGAGAACAACTACACTTATGAATTTGATTTTTCAAAAGTCTATTGGAATCCTCGTCTCTCCACAGAACACAGCCGTATCACAGAACTTCTCAAACCTGGGGATGTCCTATTTGATGTTTTTGCTGGGGTTGGGCCCTTTGCCATTCCAGTAGCAAAGAAAAACTGCACTGTATTTGCCAATGATCTCAATCCTGAATCCCATAAATGGTTACTACACAATTGTAAATTAAATAAAGTGGACCAAAAGGTGAAAGTCTTTAACTTGGATGGGAAAGACTTCGTCCAAGGACCAGTCAGAGAAGAATTAATGCAGCAGCTGGGACCACTGTCAAAAGAAAGAAAACACTCTGTGCACATTGTCATGAACTTGCCAGCAAAGGCTATTGAGTTTCTCAGTGCTTTCAAATCACTCTTAGATGGACAGCCATGCGGCAGTGAGCTTTTTCCCATTGTGCACTGTTACAGCTTTTCCAAAGATGCTAATCCTGCTAAGGATGTTCAGCAACGAGCTGGAACTGTGTTAGGCATCTCCCTGGAGGCATGCAGTTCAGTTCACCTAGTAAGAAATGTGGCCCCTAACAAGGAAATGTTATGCATCACTTTTCGGATTCCTGCTGCTATACTTTACAAGAACCAGACCCTAAATGGAGGTGAGCAATTTCTGGGAAATTAAATATAAGCTGTAATACTTTTCATATAACTTTCTGGGGCTACATATATATTTTATATTATTTTTTAAACTTGGAAATAGGTTAAACTCATTCTAGTTAGATATTTCAGTTCAAGACCCCTTGCCATTCAATTGTGACTACTTTCTCACAATTTTACAAATTTTAGTATGATTTACTGTTCAGTCTAGTAGAAGTCTACTTCATTAAAATAATAAATCCGCAGGAATGTTACTATTTCATGTGTAAGTTAATTAGATTAAAAATCTTTAAAATGCCTGTATTACTTGCTTTTTAAAAGTATTTTCAAATGTTAAGTATCTTACCTAATATAGATTTTCTGGATTTGTTACAGACAATCATGAAGATCCACCTATTAAACGCCAGAGGACAGATAAAGACTTTTAGGAAGAAAAAACACAAATTGCTTCAATCACTTAATTGGAAATATTTTCTCCAGCTCCCCACTAGACCTTTATGTAGTGAAATATCATTTGTATGATTTCTATATTTTAGCATTCATTTACTTTAGTATTGAACCCTTATATTTTGCCCTAGCTGTCTTATAAATTGGGGATTATCAAATTAAAATTTAAATAAGTCTACTAAATACATTTTTATGTTATAATTTTATCATCAAATATATCTAATATTTTATTAGATAAATATGTTTAAATATTGTCTTTCTCTTGGGAAAATAGTTTCTGAAGGTAGGATAATTGCGTGCTAACTAGGAAAGAACTAATCATTTTACAGTCATCCTTAGTTGAAGAGTGTAGCTAAGTTTTATATAAGTACTCCTACACTATTACTATAAAAGTACTAACAAATGAGATTATTTAGATCAGAGATAGGCAGACTATGTCCAGCAGGCCAAATCTGGTCCACCACCTGTTGTTGTATGGCAAGTGACCTGAGAATGGTTCTTACATTTTTAAATGGTTGAAAAAGAATCAAAAGAATAATATTTTGTGACGTGAAAATTATATGAAATTTGAATTTCAGTGTCCATAAATAAAGTTTTATTAGAACACACCATACTCATTTGTTTACATACTGGCTATGGCTGCCCTCATGGTATAACAGCAGAGTTGAGTAGTTGCAACACAGATGGGATATGATTCTCATCACTTCATACTGCTGCTCAGCACACTAGAAATCACAGTGACACAGTTATAACTCAACAACATTTTGAGTGCCATGTGTATTGCCAAGCTATAACATTTTATTTTACTATTACCAGTACGTATCCCTCATTCCAAAATAAGAAAAGTGGCCATTCATGCTTGCTTTTAAGGCACAGTAGAGTGTGAATTTTTTTGCCATTGAATTAGATGACAAAGCATCTATACCTGAGCTGAAGTACAATATACTTTGACATTTCTCAAAGAAGTACTCATCACAGTATTTCCAACTCACAGGCAAGCAACTGTCAGAAAAATTAGGTATTTAAACTGGAAATTCATGGCAGAATTTCTTCACAAAATGAAAGTGAGGCTACAACCAAAGTAAGTCTCCAAGTGACTCTTGTTAAACCAAGCAAGGAAAACCATTTACTGTCGGTGAGTTAATTGTGTTTGAAAGCAGCAGTCTAAGAAATGTGTCTGGAGAAAGCAAGCTTGTCTAGGACTGTTGGCCTTTTGGCAAGGACAGTTGCTCAGAGTTGAGAACATTGAGAGCACCGTCAATAGTCAGAAAGGTAATGAGTCCAAGTAGTTCTTTACTCTTGATGAGTTGATAGACATTACTAATACTGCTCAGTTCTTGTTTATTTGAGGCGTCAATTCTGACTTTGAAGTTACTGAAGAATTAGCCTCTATGAATACTCTGCACGGAACAACTGGTGAATACTTTCAAAGAAACTGAGAAAACTAATTCTGTAAAACCTGAAGTAGAATCTGATGTGTTATAACTGATGATGGTTAAAAAGAAAAGTGTGAGGTAGAAAAAGCTCTAGTTGGAAAAATTTACAAAGCTTATGAAAATGCACGGTGTTTAAAACCTATAGTTATTCACTATATTATTCACCAGCAAGTACATTGCAACAAATATTTGAATCTATCATGTGTTAGTGAACCAGTAATGTCAATGATAAACTTCATTTGCTTTCATGGACTTTAACCATCCTCAGAGTCCTTGAATTTTGTCAGAAATTGAAGCTGAATTTCTTCAGCTTAACCTAAGTTTTATTTGCTTAGCAATTGTAAGGTATGACTGCAATTTTTGGGGGTCATGGACAAGACTGAAATTTTTCTTAAGAAGAATCAACCTTAAACACTTCTAAAATACTGAGTGTCTTTGGAAATTAGTTTTTGCTAAAGACTTGATAATATTTCTCAAAGATATCAACCTACAGTTACAAGGCAAACATAACTTTAATGTGAAACATACTGCAGTAGTCTGAAATGACTACAACTGTACATTTCTCATGCTATCAAAAATTAAAACAAGAAACAAGATTTTCATTCTCATAAATTAGCAGTGGATATATTTTCTGAGTTCAGCATTCTTGGAACCTTGGTGCAAATGCAAAGGAAATTTCCATATTTCAAAATCCATTTAACTACAATTGAACTTCCATCTGATCTTCAATTGGAAGTGATTGATGTGTTATTGTAATGACATGCTAAAAGGCAAATACCAAGGGATTAAGAATCTCATAGTTTTACAAATGCCTTCCAAGTGATGTATATGTTCAGTTAAAATCACATGTTCTAGAATTTGGCAGTATCTGTCTGAAAAGACTTTTTGAAAGATGAAATGTGTAAAATCTCATTGCATATAACCATCAACATGTGATCAATTAAAATTCATTTTGATGATAGGAACACTTAGAACCCCAATCAAAGGAAATGTAATTCTCCAAAAAGCCCTACAAAAAATGTACTCAATTGTATTTTGAAGTCTGTTAATTTAAAAAATTGTGCCAATTTATTGTATCTCTTGTATCTACATAATGGCCTCAGTTCTGTCTCTTGGCCCACAAAGCCTAAAATATTTACTCTCTGGTCCTACAGAAAAAGTTTGAGGACCCCTAATCTAAGTCATTAATTACAAACTCAAATGCCTTCAGAAGCTAGGTAATATAAATAGATGACGGCAATAAATGGTAAGAAGTATAGGGAAGTAATGAATTGGAGCTTCTATTCCTTATCAAAGGACACTTAAAATGGTTTTGGAGTTCAACCCAACCTATCCTATGCAAAACCTTGAGGGCTAATTCAGCCAGGGATTGCTAGTTTGGGACTTCTAATTTTCTTCCTCTCCCTCCCCTCCAAGTGTATGTAGGTCAAGGGTCAGCAAACTTTCTGTAAAGGGCCATTTAATATTTTAGGCTTTCTAAGCTATAAGGTCTCTGCTGCCTCTCAACTGCCATAGTAGTCCAAAAGCAGCCATAGATAATACATAAACACATATTCCAAAAAAAAAACTATGAACACTGAAATTTTAATTTCATATGCTTTTCACATGTTAAAAAGTATATTATTCCTTTGGCTTTTTCCAACCTTAAAAATATACAGACACCAACCTTAACTCATGGAGCATACAAAAAAAGGAAGCCCCTGGATTTTGCCAGGGGTCTACAGTTTTCCTTCTCCCGATCTAGGTGAAGATAATTAATTTGCAAGTAGGCATAAGAACTTTTTTCCTAGTACTGTATTGATACATCCATGTGCTAGGCTATACATATTAAGTGTGGGTGCAAATGATGTTCTTATTCATATGTAAAGTGGTAAGATCCATTTAGTCACCCCTTAATTAGAAAAAATATGCAGTATATAATTGTAAAGAAAACAGAATTCCTGGGGCTTCCCTGGTGGCGCAGTGGTTGAGAGTCTGCCTGCCGATGCTGGGGACACGGGTTCGTGCCCTGGTCCGGGAAGATCCCATATGCCGCGGAGCGGCTGGGCCCGTGAGCCATGGCCGCTGAGCCTGTGCTCCGCAACGGGAGAGACCACAACAGTGAGAGGCCTGCATGCCGCCAAAAAAAAAAAAAAGAAGAAAACAATTCTTTAAATGCTTCTATTAACACACTTTAACCTCTCCTCCTTTTTCCCTCAGAGTGGATAAGTGAACATGTGATTATTTCATTATTTAAATTTGGCTCATCCTGAACTTTTTGATGTGATACCTAGTAACTGAACTCTTGGTTAATCCACTAGAAAATGACAGCTAGAGCACTCATTAGGTAGAATTTTTTAATTTTGTTAACTTTTTGACAAGTTTTCTGCCACCTTAATTAGATTTTGAAATGATTATTCCAAACCACCTGCTGACAGCCTAAAGGTAACTTCTAAGAGAAGCTTAACTCAAATATTTATTGAAAGAAATTAAGGAATACTAAATAATAATGCATCCTAATTACCAAGTAAATGTATTCAATCCATTAATATCTGCATAAAAGGGAGTGCAGTTAGCAGTCAAATCATGTTCTACATAATGAATTCCTCAGGACTTCTCTCAAGGATATCAACACCATTATTTAGTTGATGTCACTTATATCCCATATAAGAACTAGATACTTGATCTGTAAAATTTCCTGGAAGTCTTAAGAAGTTTGACTACTCAGATTTGGTTTTGCACAGCTGTTGTTTATAAGTTTGACAGTTTGACAGTTATCTCTAGAACATGGACTCTGCAGTTTAACCGCTTGGGTTCAAATCCAAACTCTTCTCCTTTTAAGAGGTATTGACCTTTGGCAGGTTGCTGAACCTCTCCATGCCTTAGCATCTCCGCCTGTTAAAATGGGGAAATAATATTAGCACTGTTAGAAGGATTAGACAATTCAAAGCATGAAGCATAGTGCTTGGCATATAGGTTAATGCTCAGTAGTTGTTTCTGTGCTAGTGTTATAAAATATTAAAAGACTTATTAAATTCATGTAGATGAAAAGACTTGTACAGCCTTTTGTCTCTGAGAGAGGAAATCACTGGGAGGATTGGGGATAATTTCATCAATGTAGAATATTTGTTATTTAGTGAATTGTTGCCATTAGGTTATCTTTCACCATTCCCTTTGATCTAATAGGGTCAGTTAACTTCTAAACCCAACCTATTGAACAAAGTATGGCCATAGTAAGGGCAAAATAATTACAAACATATCTAGGTGGTGGAATTTAACTGATTTGCCAAATCAGGTGCAGGCAATTTCCACAATAATAAGGTAGGCTCAAAAAAAAGTTTTGAAAGCCTTTGAAATGTTTTGTTAATAATTAGTTCCTTCCATTTAAATACATCATACAAGGTACTGAGAATAAATAATAGTGTTTCTTTTTTAAAGACTGGATACCTTACTTTGGCAGCTGAGTACAGAAAATCTCTAACCACAAGTCCAACGTTCTCACTATTCTTTGAACAGATTTATGTATTGTACTTAAAATGCTAGTCCTCTATTGGGGAAAACTAATAGATATGAGAAATAGGATGCAGACTAGTAGAGTTATAGATAGAATTAGACTTGGATAAAAAACTTTTGTTCTAATTTTGGCTTTTTACTAACTTGTGTATATGATCTTGGCCTACTCAATTATTCAATGCCTTGGTTTTCTCAATTATCAAAGATAGTTAGAAGTGTTATAAAGATGAAGATGTACTCCTGAAATTAATACCTACTTAGTCAAATAAGATGGAGCTGTTACATATGGATATTCCACACTAATATAACCCACAAATCTTGTTTCACATAACTTTCCACTCTAACAACTGTTGTAATGGAGATTTAATAAAAAATCCTTTAATTTCCTTGAGAAACAATGTCCCATACCCAGTTGTCTAGGTAACAGACTCACACAAGGTTGAGATGCTACAAATATATATCCTATCCACATCCAAACTCTTTAAGCAACATTCTGGGTATACTAAAAGCCTTTGAAGTTTCAACAGAAACTGTACCAGAGTGTGCAATTTACTCATAGGGAAATTTCATTTAAAATATATTCATTCCAGTCTCCAAGGTTTCATCATAAAATGAGCTCACATTGAGGTGAAAGGTGCCTTTTAAGTATTAAATTTTATTAACTTACTTCTTTGAATTTGTCATGAAAGCAGGTTAGTACTCTGGTTTAGCCTAAGCGAGGCTCACAGCTGGGAACTATAACACATTGATCAAGGTTCGTCTCACTTTCCACTGCTCAAAACAGGCACTGAGTCCTTAATGTTGAGAGACTGACATTATCACAGGTCAAGTTTTACTTGCCACAACCTGTTGGTAGAAGGAAATATATCCACTTGTCTGGACTAGTATTAAGAAGACATTGGGGAAAAAATGGAACATTTTATGAGAAGAAATAACAGACTTGGATATTAACACTAAGTGTCGTATTCAAAATGGCATTTTTAATGTGTGTTCAAGTAAAACACTGTAATAAGAGAAAAACCACAAAACAGTATAAAGTCTAGCTTTATTTTTTAAAGGATTTTACAAGTCTATCAACCTCAAACATACACAGGTGAATTATTCATAGCTTCCATTAGATGAGTCTTAACAGCTTCAATCCCTCTCAGAAAAATATAAGTAAAAAATAAATCTTTTTCACAAATATTTATCCACTATATTACTCAGCTTAGTTCTGAAATTTGCTCTCTATAAATACTTTAACACAGCTGCTAGTGGTAGTACTGTTGCTGTACAGCTGCACATGGCTATAATTTTACAAGTCTGCTTTACTTCTGCTAGCTCCCTGGTTCGGCTCCAGGGTCCAAATCTTATAGAGGAGAAATAAAGGTTAACTGGGCTGCCAGAAAAGCCCACTGAATGCATCCTGTAGTGCTCTGTGACAAGCCAGAGAAGAAGTATAGCCTCCAGCAAGGTCCTGTGGAGAGGCAGCTCTGACATGGTTTAAATACCTAAAACAAAACAAAAAGTGTACCATTGATATAGAAAGCACATATAAATTGGTAACACTTTAAAAAGCAATAGTAAAACTGATTCAAATGTTAAAGAAGAATTCTAAGGCTGAAATGTTCAGACTTTATAAATGCATTATTTCCTTTTAAAAGGAAACATACCAACTCTAAATTATAAAGCGAATTACATTAAGATCTAAAAACAGCTCTGAAGGAGGTTTCAGAAATAATACTTGTTTTTAAAATGTTCCCTATTCCCAATTTTCAGAACTAATCTATTTTGCTGGCTCTTGTTCGGGTACCTAACTGCCGCTCTCCTTCCTGGCATACTCTTAATAAATAAATGCACATCATAATACTATTGTATTACTAAAATTTTACATAAATATGTTCTGAAGAAAATACGTAAACAAGTGATAAAGGGGAGAGAACACACTAGTTACTTCAAAATTACTTCAATATTACAAAAATATATTGTCTCCCTCCTTACAGGAAAGGAAACCTTAGAAAATTACATCCAAAACTGAGCTTGGGTTCAAAAGAATGTCCCAATTAGTAAATACAGAAGAGTCTTTTGAGTCAATCTCAAAAGGCTGTAACAGATACTATTATTCTTCAATTACACACATGTTACTTAGCAATTAAAACTTTCTACCTTGATAAAGGTACACAAACAGCCCTAAAAAATGGGATAATCCTGGCCAAAGAGGGACAACTTCTTAGCATGACTACCAGCACTGTCAGAAAACAAGTATGTCCAGCTTTGCTTTAATGCCTAGTTTAAGAAACCACATTGTTTCTTCAGGCCTCAGGAAGTAAAGGAGCTTCATCCACCTAAGAATTACAGGTATAGCAAATGAATAAATCAGGTACCAGAACATTTTAATAGCTTGGAAACTTTTCTATTCATTCATTCAGACTTCCTGTGTGTCAAAGTCTTGATGCATGAGCAACTTATTATTTCTAACATAATAACAAGTCTGTTTTTCATTTGTATCCATGTTTAATAAGCTTGTGTGATTAAAAAATATATGGCAATACAAGAGGCCAAATAGAAAAAGTGGTCAAAGTAAGACACAGCATAAGCTCCTGCAATTGGCTATAATTTATTCACACTGCCACAAATCAAGGTGTTAATTCTTTGCTTCTCTGCCAAGGGTGAAAGGGGAAAGTGAAAGGAGAAAGGAAATGAATATTTATTGAGCAACAATCTCCAAACTTTTTTGATAGTATATTTATAGCAGTAAAACTATTTGAGCGTGCAGCTCTAAAACTTGTATACTTGTTCATAAATTACATGTTTATATATTATATACTATTACATAGTATATACACATAATATATTAATATAGTAAGTATATTATAAAATATATATAATATATAATTTGAAACATTTAAAGGATGAAACCAAAATGTTTAAATAAAAGTTCTAATATTTTCTCCCTACACCCCATCTTACATATCCTGGTGGGATGCATCTCACTTTGGAGACTACTGTTATTAAACAGTTGTTGTCAAACTCTTAATAAAACCTTGGGTATCACGGGATTTAAATAGGGATTCACCAAACCTAATACATGGCCACAAAGGTATCTGCTTATTACCTCCCAGGATAAAATAAAATGTCCACTGTTAAGACTATGATGCATGAGAAATGAGGTAAGTGTTAAATCACCTCAGAAAGTCTAAAAATTAACCTGGAACAGCATAAAATCAATTTCTCTTCATTGAGAATTCAGTAACTATCACACAAATAAGTGAGTAATATTTTTACAGGTATCTTGAAAATGAAAATGTTCCATTCCTGACACAAGTTTCCAGCTAAGTTTTATCCACACCCCAGATAGCGTTGTATAACCCTTTTCTCTTTCCTCAGACCCTCAAAAGCACAGTCTTAGCTCCAATGGCTCTTTACTCATGGCAAAATTCAAGTACCACAGTAGAATGTGTCAACCTTACAAAGCCAACTATCATAAATGAGAACTGGTTTTCATAACTGAATACAAACCACTGTGCAACTAGCTGTTTTAATTCATCACATTTTGGTATAACTTGCTTCTGGGAAAGTTGAGTCATACCATCTCTGGCTTGGCAATTCAAGCATAAACTTGCAGTGTACATACAACTTTTTATATGTTATCCTGAGAAACCTGAAACAGCTGCACTGCTGGCAGGAAAACATAGGACCACCAGTAAAATATCCAAAACAGTTGCATCTTTTAATTTATGACTGTGCACTGTTTCCATAAAGAGTATATAAAACAGTTCAACTTTTTATAGGTAAAATGTAATAAACAGTCATACTTATTGATGTCATAAATGTGTTTTTAAAAGTTTATTTAAAATGATTCATTAGTGTTTGAAAACAGTATTTCTTGAATACAGTCATAATCTAGAGCAATGAGCAAATATTTTAAAATTTGAGTTATTAATGCTAATTTGTAGATTCTCACTGCCAACATCAAGTCCATTAAAATTTCTTTGCATAGCATTGAAAAAAATGCATTTCCTTTCTAGCAATCACTTACATTAAACATATTTGTAAGTATGATTCTTTAAAGACCTGCTTATTTACATTACTGTTTTTGATCTCTAGGGCTGCACAAAACAGTTATTATTAAATATTTCGACCTATTTTCACCATGGCAATCTACATTAATTTCAATTTTAAAAAATAAAACAGGTCATTCTTGTTATTCAACTGTGGGCTTTTATTTTCTAAGTATCTTAATGTTCTTAAACCCTTTAATTATTGTGGTATACCAAAGTATTTTGAAGGATCTGCAACACTGAAACCACACAATGAGAATTTAGTGTTTTGCCTATTTTTTCACATTAATCCACATCTGTGTTGATTTAATTCTTTCATGACCATTACAAGTACATCACTGAATAGGATTCCTGGGGTTTCTGGCAGAGGTCAGTATCATTTCATGTACACCTTTATACAACAGAATAAGGAAGAAGTCTTAGCCAAATTTATTTCCAAAAGTCAAGCTCAGTTGGATTTTGGAGCCTGGAGGTAATTGCTCTGACTATTTAGCCAATCCCAGGACAGTATTTCTGTTTTTCATGGGTTTATTTTAAATACCTGTAAATCTTACAAGCAGAAACCAGGAAAGAAAAAAAAGAGGTTTGCTTATTTTGGTACCTATACCTTATTTTTACTGAAAGCAGACTAAACTCAAAGATTTAAAAATCATACCTTTGATTATTTTCTTTAATAAGGCTAAAAAAAAAAAGTATGTTTTCAAAAGCATGTCTAAGATAATTCCTGTACAAAGGGCATCTTATGCCCTAATTTATACTACGTCTAAAGGTGCCTTCCTTTGCCATTACCCATCAAAATCTCTTTCAAGCAGACTTTGGAGAAGGAGGAGGAAAAGGAGGGAATGGATCCTGAGAGGGGAGTAAAGGATTAAGCATAAGAAAACCACACTTGAAAGCCTGTTCCTGAACTTTGATTTCCTACACTGTCATTTTCTTCTGTTACATTTAGCAGCTTTTGCTCCCAAAGAAGGTGGTATAATTTACACTTAGCTTCAGAAAGACTTCATTTTCTCAGTTCTTTAACATAAGAGAGTTCCTCTGAAATTACTCTTTTACTATTTCCCTTCCTTTAAAAGCCCTATATTGACCATATGGCTGAAGTTTTGGACTCAGCTCATTTTAGTGCTATGTAACAATTCTTTGAGTTCTCAGCTAGGGGCAGAGGGCAGGGGTTGTCACTCAGAACCAAGAGGCAGCACTCTTCCCCTCCAGTCATAACCTCCTCATGAAAACCCTTGAAATGCTTTTGGCTCCAGAGAATCAAAGAATCTCAGAATTTAAACTGAAATGAAAATGTGAAGTTCATATTAGTTTCCTCCACCTCAAATTACCAGGCCCTATGGAGAGTTTAAAAATTAAAAAAAGTCCAACTTTTTAACTCCATTGAGTTGTAAAGTTGGACTGGTTCAAACTAAGAAAGGGAATGAACTCTAGAGACTAAGACTTTCTTTTTACAAGGTGGCCCATTTTTTAAAGTCTGCATTTAAAGCCATCATGCGTTGAAAAGACCAGTTCCAAGTAGTTCTGCCTCCCAGCCTGCAAAATTCAAATCTAAGTACCATTAAGAGAGATCAGCTAACACATCTCAGCTGTCAAGACCAAGAGCTCTTATAAGAAATTCAGCCAAAGCTATAAAAGATTTCCCTTAACAGCCTGAAGTCTATCTCAAGATTTAAAAACAATCAGAGCAATGATGTGCTCAGACAATTATCACTAAAATGCAGAAGCATTCTAAAAAACTGAGGTTAGTGCTCAGGTGTCCTAATCCAATCACAGTGTCAGAAAAACAGATAAACTGTCTACATA